GCCATGGAAAACTAATTAAGAGATAAAAGAAAGTGTATGGGAAAATAGGCACATCATATAAACTGTTCAAATTGTTAGATCTTCAGCTCTTGGAGTCAGGATGTTCAACATGCCTTAGAATCAAGTGTACTTTTTCCTGTACCTAAGACAGATAGTTTCAGTGATGTTTTTATAGCAGTAACTGTATCCTCAGTAAGGGTTGAAGAGTGCAAATACTTACACGCCTGTGTTACTAGTCCGTTTGAACTGCACTGTATCAGAGCCTCAGAAAGAAGTAGTTACAACTGCTCAGATCAACTGTACAGCAATGCTCCCAAGAATCAATTCAAAATTTTGGGGGATAGAGATTCTCCTTGTTTTCAGTTTTAAGATCATTACTTCTCTAGGTCTGAAAGAGGAAAATTGGATTTAAGGTATCAAGTACAGGATAAAAAATATCGCAGCCACAGAACATTGAATGCAGAACTAGCACAAACTTTCCCTGCCACTTCACTTTCATACAAAAAGTTTTATGTGACATCTTTGTCTTAGCAGATGTCAGATTATTATCATCTCTTTCCACCAATCAAATACATATGGTATCAAGTATCAAGCTGGCATAAGCCCCATAACGTGGTCTCTAGCTAATTCAACAGAAGTGTGCTAATGCAGTTATGTGCGATCCAGATCACATTTATACTGCCAGATTATTGGATAATATGTAGAGAAGGCACTCGCGAATACTCAGCCTCAAGCTTCAGGACCAATATCCACCAGCTAGCTTTTGCTTTGCTCTTTGTGAATTCCGCTGTTTTCTCAGCTATTGTTAGCTGGGCTCCTGCTTGGGATTCACACTTAATATTTCATGGTGCACTTGGGTGTGCGTCATTATAGTGGAAATATTGATAAATGATTTTTGAAACATGCTCTGCCGTATTATTTTTATGTCTACTTCTAAAATTGTATGAAACCACACCGGTACTTAAATTAAAAGTCAACTGAAAATCTCCCAAACATTTCCACCTTTTTTTTCTCTATATGGAACCATTGTCCCATATGTTCTTATCAATTTTTTACCAGACTTCATGAAGAGATCACACTAAGAAAGTATTCAGTCCCCATTTAGCTGTTTCTACTGAGGCAAACATTTGGAGAGAATGCATCTTAAATTCTTCTCTTCCTAACATGAAAAAGAGGGGGAGAAAGAGCCTTTGTTTTATAGAATCCTAGAAAAATCACTTAAATTTTGCCTGAAAGGTTCAAATACTGAAGATTAGAGAGAATAATCAGAAAAGAAAAAATATTTGTCTTCTGAAAGTATCTAGATTGAAAAAAATATTCTGTTTATACTCCTCCTCCAAATGTATTTTCCACATGTTAGAAATGTTGAAGTGCTGTGAGGATGAGTTTTTGATCCAGACAAATAGTTTTGTATCTTTCCAAAGCCAACCTGTATATGAAATTGATTGGGTAACTTTGTAAACTGTGCTATAAAAGGAAGACCAAAAACAACTGCATTTCCCGTATTTTGACTCCAACATATATATGCAAATTAGGAATACAGAAATCTTTTGTTTCATTGTGTTTCAGAAGAGTCATACATTCAGATCACATATAAGAATTTTATTTGCCCATTCAGTTTTGCATGCTCAATTGTCTGTGTACATAATTTGGAGATCTTATTTTAAAACATAGCCAAAAGTTTGAGGGAGTTTCAAATTTCTGCATTAACATTCTGTTCTTACATAAAGGCACTTACAGCTCAATGAATGACAAAATCAAGTGATAATACGCAGTCTTAAATTCACCTACTTAAACATATGTATTCTGCAAATAAAACTATTCACTTCTATTGGAACAGATTTTTCATTCCTGTGTGGTAGCTATCAATCAGAAACAACACTTTGCATACCTCAAATACTTCAAATGAGATAAAAAATTGAGGATAAAAATATTAAATCTTTCAGCACTGATCAACAATTCTTAATCAAAATTTGACAGTAATGCATGACCTGCAACCTGATATGAGCTGGAAAGATAAGATCGTTATAAGAAATGAGCAACAAATACTAAGTCTCTTATCTGTAATATTGATATGTCCCTTGTAATGCATATGAAATATTGGGAATGAGCTAAAAGATATATAAAGTCTGCATGCTGCAACACCTTCTTTCAGCATATTGCTTACATTGTTTGGTAACAATCTAATAATTTTGTGATTGGCAGAAAAGCCGTTGAAGATAAAAGGAATCTGATAATTTAGAAAATATGAATTGAATTACATTCCTAAGGCAAAAGCAAAAGACTTAAAGGGAGATGGAAACATACTAATTACAGAATTGTAATGGAAACATACTAATTACAGAATTGTAGTTCTATAACAAGTTGTCTGCAGGAACTTTCCTCTCTGTAGTGATGCCTACCCGTTATTTACAATAATGTCCTGAGGTTCTGTCAGAATTAGGAGGCTATTAGGCGCTAGGATCATCTCCTTTTACCAAGCTTCAAGGAACAGTCAGAGGAGATGGGATGCCAAGTCCCCGATTTCTCCTTTGGAGAATATAAATGCAGACCTCTTAAAAGGCAGAAGGGAGATTCCAGGGTACATATGCATGTTACACATATCCACGTTAAGCAAAAATTGGATTTTCTGCATTTTAAGTAGTATTGTGTTTTAAACCTTATATACTACACTCTTTTTTAATTCCAGTAAGCATTTTCAGCTATTCTTAATTTTCTTCTCAACTTTTCTCAACTTTTAAATAGAACCCAGTTCCTAACTTACAAAAGAAAATTTATATTTAGACCTATATACCTTGTTGTTGTAACTTTTCCCTCTCCTTTCTCTTCTCTCATCTTTGTTTTCTTTTCAGCTCTAGTAACGAATGATGGCCTTTACTTAAAGCACTGGCCTGGGAATAGGGAGTTCTTGTTTTTTTTTCCCCAAAGGCTTCCTGTGCAACCATGAATAAACATCTTAACCTCTACATAAATTCTCACATTTGATAAAAAAGGAGCTTACCTTTATGTTTACCTACTTTACAAAGAGTTTCCTCTCTCCCTCTGCCTACGATTCTTAATTGTTGAGAATTTTAATCCATGCATGTTTGTAAAATATTTCAGATGAAAGGCACAAGAGAAAAGCAAAGTTTATTATTATGTGGTAGAATGGTTTAATTAAATCATCATGCAATGGTTTCATATAAACCACTCCTCTGTGATCTACGTTTAAGGAACTCGTCTCCTCTTATAAAGCAAAAGAGTAGCTTTTCTAGAAGACAATGTATATGAGGATCCTGACTTCAGGTGTTTCTATTGGGCCTGAGAGGAGTCTCTCCCTTCCCCTCTCCCTCCCTCCCTCCTTCTCCCTCTCTCTCTCCTCCTCTCTCTCCTTCCCTTCTCTCTATCTCCCTCTCTCTTCCTCTTCTTCTCCCTCTCCCTCTCCCTCTCCAATAGTGGTGGAGGGAGCCAAGGCAGATTAGCTGCTGCCTTTGTGAATAACTTCCTTTGTTACCCACTCCCTGATATTAACTCTATACTTTATTTTGGTATCACTGCCAATCCTCTCAAAATGCCAAGTACAACCGACTGGTAAATGAAAGAGTAATTGGTGGGTTTGGAGCCATGAACAGCACTTTCTGTTCTTGGGGTTGTGATCATGGGCTGTGAAATTTTCATTCCCTCTACTAACAGGTCTCTTCTAATACTCTCAGGTACCAGGATATTTCAAGTGCACCTGTAATGTTAAGTAAGAATTTCAAATGTAGCGAAATTAAATAAAGAGCACAAAAAATGTGGCTGTGGTTTAGAAGATGGCTGTTTTTCCAGCATCCACTCTGGAGTTTTGACCATAGCCCTATTTTAATTTTGCTCCCCTTGTCAGAGTGCTACTTTTCTCTGCTGCAGGCAACTGCTTCATTTACTCAGTAGGGCCTCAAAGCAGATCCAGCCTTGCTTTTGTACTCTTACAAGTTTAAACACATGCAACACAGCATTCTAGCAATCATCCTAGACTTTAGCAGAAACAGACCACTTGCTACCTGTTCTGGCCTATTGTTCACACATCTCCTTTTGTTACCTCTCAATGGATGCATTCCATGGCTTACCCTCTAAATTCTCCATTTTTCTTCTCCCTTGTTTATAACTCCATCAAGAATCATGTCCATAGTTATGAAATAATGAAAGATACTGGGTGACATACATGTCTGTTACACAAGTACTGAACAAGTTGTCTAAAGGCAAGAAAATTCATTAATGCTGTGTCCCTTATTCATTATAATAATCTAATTTGGAAGGTCTTTCCATGGGTAAATGGATCTGAGAAACAGATGACAGATTACACATTTGCTAACATATTCATACCGATGAGCCTCAACTACAGAAAAAACAGTGCCAACCTGCTGAGATTAGTTTGTAGATCCCTGCAAACACATCAGATCTGGAAATAAATCCCACTGATTATGACAACATGCATTTTGAGTTTGACGGACATGCAAATCTTTTACGCACAGTTTTTAAGTATAGAAATTAACCTCATGTTTTTGTAGGGTTTTTTATAATACTAATTTAATCAGTAAACACTTGTGATTAAACAGTAAATATTTAACTTCTCATCTTTGATTGTTGCAAAATATTTTTTTTTAATAAAAAAACCTGCCTCCTTTTCTCTAAACATCTTTCGGATTAAGGCCCCATTATTTAATGATTTGATCTGTGTCTCTTTTTTTTTTTTTTTAATTATTAGACCTATACACCCAGAACGCCATAGCTTTACAGATAGTGAACTACCTTTCCTGGATCCTCCATTTCCGTTTCTCTGGATGAATTTCAGTACAATTTATGCTGTTTTTTCTCTGTGGATGTTGTAAAATATGTTTTCCCTCACAAAATAGTCAGAATTTTAACATATATAAGCTTAGATGACTAAAGAGACCAGGAAGAACAAGACAGCTGTGGGGAGAGGAACCAGTAGGCTATAAACAGTGAGCATGCCTGTCTCAGAACTGATAACTGAGCATTCTAGGATCAATGGCATTTGCACCTAATTCAGGGGAAAATTTGGATCTTTCTTCATCCAACCATACTTAGGATCCCACAACTGAACTTGATAATGAAATTCCCTCTCACAGTTAAAAATAAAAAACCAAAAAATACTGAATATGAATGCGAAAGAAAGGCAATTTGATGTTTGTAATTATCGAGATAACTCCATGACCTGCTGAATGTATTCAAAATGGACCCTAGATGGTGTATATAAACCTGACACGTTCAGAAAATAAGAGTAAGTATTTAGACTTCCTTTTGGTAGAGCAAGTCACCACATAGGATCCCTACCATGGGCAACAAGGGGTCTTCACTGAAAGGTAAGACTTTTGCCAGTCACTTGCTGATAACTTTTATGCTTCTTTAAATTTAGATTGAATTAGTAAGTAACTGCAAGGTTACAGCCGTAGAAACGGAGGTCTTCCAGCCACCAGTGACTGGAAAAAACTTCCACTACTGGTGAAAGTTGCCTCCACCTCAAATGTTCAGTGTTCAAACCAGCGAATTAAAAGGCAGCTTGATCCTTTTTTAACTCAGTCTTTGGTCTTCTAAGACTATTCTTGTGCTGATGAGTGTCACGGATAATTGACTTGACGGATGTGACACCTGCACACCAAGGACTGGATCCAGACTGCTTTGCTACTGCCAGACACCACTGTGTAGCTGTCAGAAGACAATAACTGAGCTATTATCCACAAAGTCCAGAAGCAGTCCAGTAATTTAGAACTGAATGGTTTCAAAACCATTTTCAACTTCCTAAGCCAACAGGTCTCAGGTTTTTTTATTCATAGAATTATTCCCTAGAATAGTCTTCTAACTGCAGCAAGCTAAATGTACCTTGTTTATGGGGAAGAAGAAAGGCTTACTTCTACATCGTGTAAATAGGCGTACTTTTCTTGAAATGAGAGCTATAAAGAAATCTATCACATGATAATGGTAGAGAGGGCTCTGCTGATTTATGGAGCACATTTTAATTTAGCATTGATAATAAGTCTGCTGAATCAAAGCATATAGCAGGCCAATGATGTCCAGCACTGAAAGTCTCAGAACACAGAACAGTATTCTTTGAATGAGTATGCTCATTTACCAAACATTGATTTTAAAGATTTCATTGTTTTTTGTGCACATTTTATTTTGGTGAGTAGAAAACTTGACTTATATTAACTTAATATTAAAGTTTTAAACAGGTGAGTTTTTATCTTTTGGAAGTCCCTATATCAGCTTCAGAAGCTCAGGAAAAAAGTCAAATGTTCTCTAGATTTTTTTAGCAATAGGCAATTTAGGGTTAAATGCTAAACAGCAAAGCAGCACAGCTGCTGGAAATCTTCTGAAGGAACTCCCAGGACAATCAAAACCTTAACAGAGTGACCTAACCACCCTCCCACAAAATTAATTTAAACTCCAAATGTTTGAAAAGAAGAAAAGGACCCATGGGAGGAGGAGGAGAAAAGAAAAAGAGGGAACAGTCTACTTTCCAAACTTATATATCTGTGCAAATATAATTAGGTATCTATATTTACACAGTGAGGAAGCATGATTTTTTTCATCTATTTATCACTATTTAATAAAGTCAGGCACAATGGTAAGAGACTGTTCTGAATACAGTGTACTGTAACACAAGTTACCTTGTCCCCTCAACCTCTGTAATAGGCTCTGCTATATAGCTAGGATGACGGAAGGGAGAAGGGGGTAACAGAGTTATAGTGTTTTCCTCTGCCATCCATTTTCAGTAGCCAGTGCAAGGGGTACTCTCAGCCGTGTGACTGAGCACAGGAAACATTTTCCCACATCCCAGTTGGTTACTTCTGACCCTAATAGTTATTTCTAAATGCAATATGTGTCAATGTGATTCTGTTTTGGTGTATTTTAAATCGGAATAGGCTTGTTGCTGATGGTCCTCCTTCTGGTGTCCAACACGTTCCTGGCAAAGAAAGGAGTGACCTCCTTGCCAATCTGTCCCAATGGATCTGTCAATTGCCAAGTCTCCCTTGGTGAACTCTTTGACCGGGCAGTTAAACTTTCACACTACATCCACTTCCTCTCTTCAGAAATATTCGATGAATTTGTAAGTACTCTGCCTTTTCCTGAGAATGAGAACATACAGAGAATGCAGTTCCATTTTTTTTAAGCACAACATATATTAACATATTAAATCATTCAGTAAGTAAACAAATATGACTGCTTTACAGAAGGCAATAGTCCCAATAGTGACCAAATCTACTTATAGTTTTGACTGTTACTAAGATCCTCAACACTTCTATTAAAATATACCATTTTCCCATCATTCTTTACCTACAGGACAAATTTTCCTGTGCTAGGTGCTAGTTTCAATCTAAATACTCACTTTAAAATTTTGACCTTTACAGCATAAAAGCAGTGATAAAAGAAATGGAGCAACAATTACCTAATATATTGTCTGAATTGCATCTCTTCTTACTTATCTGTTTCAATAATACCTGTCCTTGCTGATCTGCAGGATGAACGCTATGCTCAGGGCCGGGGTTTTATTACAAAAGCTGTTAATGGCTGTCACACTTCCTCCCTAACCACTCCTGAAGACAAGGAGCAAGCTCAGCAGATTCATGTAAGTCCTATTTCAAATGCATTCAGTGTGAGATGGAACGGAGGAGGGAAGGAATAAAAAGGCAGCAAACATGGAGAGAGGGAAATGGTTCATTCAGAATAAAAAAGCCAGGAAGAGGAAAACATCAAAACCCAAAAAATGTTGATCTAACATTTGCTGATATGGCTGATACTAAGTTACAAACTGTAAAGAGTATGTAAGTTTGGTAACTCTCGTCTTCTCTTCCTTTTCCTGTATTTTGCGTTCAGTTATTGAATCTTATTTCCAGTTAACCTCATGGAAGAAAAGCCAGTTCCTACAGACTCAGCACACTACAACCTTCAAACATTATTTTAAAACACCTAACAACAATTATTAATAAACATAAAAGTGGATTGGCTATACAGTGAATACTGTATGTAGGCAGAGGTAAATGGCTTCCCAGTAACTGACAGCACTGACATTATCAAACAGATATTAAATAGATATTCTTGCGGTTACCAGTAGGTAAAAGGGTCACATCATCACCCAGTTACAGAGACTTTAATGCGCAATATTGCAAACTACTTGTAAACAGAAACATGCTACATACGTCAATTTAATAATGATAAACAAAGATGAAGATAATCTTGTTCAGCCTATACTCACAGATAAAATTTTAACACTTGAAAATACTCTGGAAAAAAAAAGTTGCACAGGTGAATGAATGGGAAAGTTGCAGAGATCTTTTATTAGTTTTGCAAAAAATAGTCTTGCATAAAATAGTCTTGCAACTTCTGTATCATCATCTTAGTTTGTAGTTTGGAAGATCTCTTGGGAGCACTGGAATTCACAGTCCTGGGAACAGAACAGAAACCTAATGATGTTAAGATCCAGTGCGCCTAGCAAAGAAAAAATGGTTGAACAGTAACCATAGCCATAAGCTTTTTGAATTTTTAGTTGCCCACAAGAAAGGAACATTTTAAAACCAGAGAACTATCACTGGAAGCAACATTGTACAAAGGGGAGAACAGATGAGTTATCTAGAGGTAATAAAAGCTAAGAAGTGGTTTACCATAATAAGCATCTTCCATTCAGTCCTAAGCTTTTTAAAATTTGTCATAGGACTTTCAAATGTTCATTAAAAATCAGATGCGCTTTTTTCACAGAGATGAAACATAGTTGTGCCCACTACTTTGTAATATGCAAGAGCTTTAATGATATTTTCCATTATGATATTATAACCATTTGTGCTATTATAGTAAAACATGTTGATAAGAATGACAAATCGCAAAAATGCAATTGTGCAGAGGTATCTAAGACAGAAAAGTCACGAAAGAGGGCATAGTCAGTGGAAGGTCCTGGAATAATTCCCCTGACACTGCAGGCATTGCTCTAACTCCCTCCTCACACTGCCAGCACATAGCCTTCCTCTTTTAACTGCCTCTTCTTAATGTGGATGAGCAGCACGAAGACCTGCTGAATTTAGTACTGGGTGTACTGCGCTCCTGGAATGATCCCCTGATCCATCTGGCCTCTGAAGTACAAAGAATCAAAGAAGCTCCAGACACCATCCTCTGGAAGGCTGTCGAGATTGAGGAACAAAACAAGCGACTTCTAGAAGGAATGGAGAAAATAGTTGGACGGGTAAGTACTAGGTCCTTCATGTTTCTCTAGCCTATTGCTTTAAGGAAGCCACACACAGTGGTAGGCTCTCCCTATTTGGAATAAGAAAGGAAATGATAGATGCAGAGGAAGAAAAGCAAGCCAATTACGGAGAGCTGAATCTGAGAACATCTCAGCTGTAACTTTTTTTGGCATCTTATGATTTGTAAAGAGAACATGTGATGTTGCTGGCATAGAACAATCCAGTGTAGTCCAGTCCTGCCTTAATGGAAGGTGTAATCATCAGGACTGGCAATAATCACTTTATCTTTGAGTATTTTGAATGTGCAATCCTAAATGTTTTAAGGATGCAGCTGTGCTGGTTTTGTATGCACATGTTCAAACATTTGTATAGATGTATTTATACGTGTCTGTATACATAGAGGTATTGTGTATAGTTTTAAGAAATTGATAGAATGTTTAAAACTGTTCTTAAAGTCTGTCTATTGCAAAGATGTGGCAAATAGCTAACTAATCAAGGCATCTTTCATTTCTCTTTTCCCACCATACTGGTTCCTCAGAACTCCGTCTCCAACTTGGTTCCCTCTACTTTTGTAAGGTTAGACCATAGGGCTAAACTGACAAAACCCATACTCAAATACCCTTTGTTATCAGTAATTGATTGAAAGCTTTCATGAATAAAAGCAGCTCTGGCTTGTTTATTTTTCAAGGGGCCTCTGGTAGACCCTATATATCATTCTGTCAGTAAGCTAGATGTTAATAAGAGTTTCTGACTTTACTGGCTCTTGCTTAGGCTGTGAACAGTTGAATAGCATTAAGAGTGCCACCATCACTGTATCTGCCACCTTCCACTGGCTCACATATGGTCTGTCTCTCTCTCTCTCTCTCTAGCATCTGTCTGTTTAGTCAGAAACTTTATCCCATCCAGGCCATAAATGCATTTATCAGTGTAATCAAATACATCTCTGTCCCATATTCAAGTGCAAAATCTTGCAGAAAGCAATCCAAGATAACAGTGGAAGTCAGGTGCTGGTACATACCTTGTCACCACCTTCTCATTCACATTATTTACAAAAGGGGTTTGGAGACAAGACTGGGAAATTCATTATGTCAAACCATGGTTTTGAGTGATAGCAGGTCTACTGGTTCTTTTGCCAGGTGCTTAGATTGACTGAGAGAGACTCCACAGATATTCTTCCATGTGCTTTCACAAAATATAACTGGTGGGAAATAGGAAAGATTCACAAGTAGCAATAGACACAGATTTTCTTCGTGCTATGAAAGATAGATTTTTACAATTTGAGAAAATGAATGATTGTCTAAGAGACTGGCTGAAGACAAAGCTGAAGATGCACACAAAGTTCTGAGAACAAATGCTTACAAAAACTTTAAGGTGGAGGGAACCAAAAAGAGAACCACTGATGAGCCCACACATGACAGAAGGTTCAATCTCTCTGCAAAGTCAAATTCCACTAAGCGTTGGTAAAAACACTGGATCTATTAAAACATTACTAATGCAGTTAAGCTCCTTGCATGTTATAGGGAAGTAAACTGAAAAATCTCATAGAGGTCCACTCAAAATCACTATGAGGATATACAACATTATACTTGAGAGCCATAATAGAAAATACTTTACAAGCTGTACACTACTAATTAGCGTTCCTCAAGGCCAGTATTTCTTAATACTCTGTTCTACCTCCAATCAGTTTCATTACTACAATATCATTTTGTGTCTTTAGGTTCGCTCTGGTGACACAGGAAATGAAGTCTACTCTCAGTGGGCAGGCCTTCCATCCCTGCAGCTTGCTGATGAGGACTCCCGACTCTTTGCCTTTTACAATCTGCTGCATTGCCTCCGCAGAGATTCCCACAAAATTGACAACTATCTCAAGCTTCTGAAGTGCCGCCTAATCCATGATAGCAATTGCTAAGTACTCGTGGGCCTAATCGTCTACTGAAATCATTCCACATAGCCCTCTAGTTGCTTTGCCACTTTTCATTGCAAACTTTATGAAAAGTCACACTGTACTGTATCAGGATCATCAGTAACTTTCAAGCATGTTTGTGTGAATTCTGGCTGCAACTATTAAGCACCATTTACCTTGGTGTTTTAAAATGTTATCATAAATTACTTGTATGACAAGGATACACTTTTCTGTCTAATCACCTCACCTAGTAGTATTTCAGTGATAACCAGATCATGCAGATACAAATAAAAATATTACCAAATCCAAAACGCATAAATCTGAGTGGTATCAGTGAATAAAAAATAGCTAGTATGGCTTATATCTTTAGCAGCAGCTTCTTCTTTTGGATCTCAATCTCCAGTTACTGATATATGACAGAATTTCATGCTTCCATTGCTCTCTATCCAAAAAAGGCATACTAAAAAAGGAGGAGCATCAAAAAGCAGATTAATCACCTATTACACTAAATTATCCTAAACTAAAAGTATAGTTTGAAATCCAGTCTACCTTGCTTTACTCAAGTAAGAAAATGTTCTGAGTAAGTGAGGGAAAGGTAAGAAATCCAGCCTAGCTAACATAGCCGTTGATTACCCATGCAGTCTACAGAGAGAGAAGACACATCTGGAAATTTAAGGACGCATCCAAAATATCTTGCTGTGCTACTTCCATTTCTCTATTGACTGGGTAAATCAGTAGAGAAAGTTAGTGAACTTAGGCACTTCCAAGGAAAGCTCATTACACTTGAGGCAACTATATCAGAGTAAAGAAACCAATAGTTTTCAGTAGGCCCTAATAGGAAGTGCTAGGCATCCACTCAGGATCATATCCATCTACCCTTGACATTCCCCTCAAGTGATGTCATGGTTGCAGCTGCTCATGAAACTTTCAAGCTATGAAAAGGCATTATAGTTGAGCTAAGCCTTCTGCTGTCCTAAATCCAAAATGTCTCTTTTATTTTGGGTTTAATCACACTCAAAGTCTTTTGAGCATTCAATTTGAAACACTGAGGTTAAACATTGAAAAAAGGAAGATGAGAAAGCAATTGACTACTTTTGAAAAAAAATGGCTTACAGTCACACAACAAATCAGAAGCCAAATGGAAGCTGGAGCCATTGGCCATGTCTATCTTTGTAGGTCATACACACATAAGGGCTAGGGTTCATCACATAGCTTTGGCAAAGAGGAGCTTACATTCAGATCAGCTCCTCATGGGTTTGGCTTCCCACTAGACAAGCCAGCTAGGTTCCTCCAGAGTTGAGCCAGCTTGGAGGAAGACTGAAAGACGAAGAGAGTACAGGCTTGAGGGCTTAAGCTCCAAATTACCGTGACAGAATAAGCACATCCATAACAGGTACTTACTTAAGCAATCAGACAATATCAACTGCTAGAAGGATCTCATTTTAACCATCTCTATATGGGATGTAATGATATTTGCATTTCTAATTATACATACTATGGTCTGTGAACCTCTTCATATCTTCAGTTTCTGATTGCCTCAGATTTCATTTTGATAAGTATAAACTGAGCCAATTTTCAACATATATAAAATGACCTGTACAGTAAATAAATTCCTTGTTAGACAGTCATACCTGACAACTTTCATAAGCTCTGAAATGCACAGAATTTGAAGCACATGCAACAGCAGTTTAATAGCACACCGCTGCATAGCTGCAGAGTTACGGAAGCAAATGGGTAGAATTTACCAAGCAATATGTAAGTGCCCAGATTAGAGTTTAACCTGATCATAATATCTTTTTTAAAAATGCCAACAGGAAAAAAAAAAACATTTTAAAGGGGAAAAAAGGAGCAAAAAACTTCCATAATTATCACAAGTGTTTAGAATTTCAACGTGAGATCTTATTCAAAAGAAAATATGAATAGGACTATTTTATACTGAGCTGGAAAAAAGATTTTATCTGAGTAAACTGCTATCTCAGAATCTTCCCTCTAATATGCTGAGCACACCCCACATTAATTAATCCTATCAAAACCTAGAGCCATATCACTATTGACTCACATAGATTTGTAATTCAAAAACAACTTGATTAATTGGGCAGACATTTATAATCTTACAATGACATGACTAGATCGAAAACAACAACTTTTATTAACTGCTTAAAAAAATGCAGTACTAAAACCATTGCTTAAAAGCATGCAATGGCTTTATTGTAGTTTGGTTTTGTACATCTATTAGTTTTTAATTTCGTAAAGGAGAGAAGACAGTGACAAAAGAAGATTTTAAACAACTGAAAAGTTATCTGGTTTGCAGCTGTTTAGCTAAAGAGGTGTTTAAAACTGATCTGGTTAATGTTCTGCGTCATCACAGCTGTCACAGAGACAGAAAGATGCAGAACGCCACAAGCAAATTCAAAGCTATACCTGTACTGTCAAGTGTCCTGGCATGGATGATGCCTTCAAGATGCAGTTGCTATTCTGAATGCTCAGGCCACAATACAGACATTGGCAGTGCTCTTTTTTTCTATTGCTAAAAATAAGAACAATACACTCTTATGTCACTAATATTTTGTTAATTACTTCATGTTCATAAGACCTAAGCAACTATTGTCTTTTATCCAAGAAAAACAGTTACACAGCCAATCTCATATTTTTTAGAAGAATTAAGAATAAGCATGTGCTTTCAAAATGAAAGCAGCAAGCTTCAGTTAAAGAGGTTTAACAACTTTCAGCTCCAGATTTTCAGCATTCAAAATGGCTATTTTTCTGATTGTATATTCAATAACTAAATTGGCTGTATTTAAATGTCTGTCAGTTTATCTATTTCTGTTTGTCTCGGATGGCATACTGATAGGACCAATGGAAAGGAAAGGTCTACATTTGCTGGAATACCGGCCTAATTCTTTTTCTTTAAAAATGATATTCAGGCTTCTATAGGTGGCCTACATTTAGGATAAGACCTTGTGACACCAAATCTAAATGGTATCAAGGTCAAACCAATTCATAACTGGGAGTATTTATCACTGAACACAACAAAGCAATAGGGATATGCAGAACAAAAAATCTAACTTGCTATTCGTGACTTGCAATTAAAGTCTAGGACTATATCCAAACTTAGGAGAAAACAGAAAGAATTTTGAAGGTAATTTTAAAATCAAGAAGGGAAGCTGTTACTGATAGTACCTGTCATTTGTAATCAACTGCTTAACTAGTAATGTGATAATCTCTCTGCCATCCTTTTTCCCAAGATCCTGCAAAAAGCCTCCAATAACTGTTGCACTCTTTCTAGAAGAAAGAAAGAGAAAAGAAGATATAGCTTGGCACCTGGCACCTCATCCATACAATACACTTTACCTTCACAATATTGTTTCAAAGGTGATCCACAGTTCTAGTAACAAGGGATACAGTGTGGAAATGTTTAAGCTTAAATTTCTGAACAACAGGGATTTCCCCAAGGGCAACACTTTTAAATATGAAACCTTTATTATAAATTAAAAAAGGGCATTAGCACAGACAACAAACGTATGTCAGAGATGTAACCACGGTAATCATGCTTATCTATGTACGCTGTAGGAATTAAATACTACCATTATGCAAGGGAATAATTTTACTGACTTGCATATTCCCATTGAAATTACTGGGCTTACTGATCTCTAAAGCTGTTCACACATATGAATCTCTATGATCAAACTTGAAACTACTTGTGGATACAAATTACTTGGGTAAATCCTGAAGACTGAAGCTGACCCTCAATATTCAATTCAATTGAAATTTAAGACTTACTATCAGTAAGCTTCTATTAGCATTAAAAAGAGGTTTTATAATAGTCTTCTAGCATAACAATAACTTTCTGAAGTTTCTTATGCTGATATCCACCTTCAGGAATGAATAGTTCATACATCATTTTCTCAAATCAGCATGAACTTCAGTCATGTTTTTTCAACTGTCTTTTCTGAAGAATTCAATGAAAGTGGTGTAACCAAATCACAAGAAACAGTGAGTATACACATCAATGTAGATCAAGAAAATCCTTGTTCCTACTCACTCTATTTTAAAGCCATTCTTATTTGCAAGTTATAATGACTATCAGATAACATTTCAACAATACCTACTATCCCTAGGATTTTAAGGCTATGTTTTGAGACATTCTCCCATAATTGAACATACCAAAAAAAAAAAAAAAGCGTATTTTCTAGTAGCGATTTTTCATTTCTTTTCATTTATTCCATGAAGAGGAAATGAAAACAGACGAGTAATGGTGCCTGATGTACTCTAAACTACATCTTTTTTCTCACAGGTGAAAGCAGCACAAACTGTCCTCATCTTTGGTGAAGAGTCTATAGACTTCTCCTATTTTCTTTGTTCTTTTTTTTTCCCCCTCTCTAAAGTTCCCAAGGACAAATTCTATGAAGCATATAGGAAATAAGCTGACATTTCAAGGAGTAACACATAATTCACCTATCAACCTACAATTTTGTTATGAATTTTTCTTATGTCCCAGAATATCTTCTGGAGCGGGCAATAACAGTTGCTTCATACATCACTAAGTCTCTCTTCTACTACCATGTTTATCCTCTCTAGTCATCGAAAAAGCACTGGAATTTCATGCTCATACTTGGTTTTTGTGGAGAGAATAAGTTGTGATGTCATCCTACCTTCTAACTCATGTCTTCTGCTGGATGTTATCACTTTTTTTTCCTCTTTCCTTCTGGAGCAGTTCTGAAGTTTGTTGTTGGATAGTAGCACTTTCTACCAGTAATGGCCAATCAGCATCTTCCTGTTTTCCTTCTTTAATATACACCATGAATGGTAACAAAGTAAGCAAAAGGAAGTTATAAAAATACTTCTAGTATCACAGGAACACTCGGTCCCTGGCTCAAGAATTGGTGTATGGGTAGGTGAATGTTCGTTTCTTAGTTACTATTGGCACTCACCTCCACTAAAATTCCCAAAGATAGGTCTTGGGTAGACCCTTTTACTGTAAATTCCTATATTTCACAGCCATCTGAACAATGATGACATGGACACTAATCAAAATTTGTTAAAGAAGAACACTTTTTATAACAAGCACTTCTTTACATTTCATCCAGTCTATCAGAAAGTATTTTACCAAGCATAAAAACGAATTGTATTTACTGACACTATTTAATGGTAGTAGTACCTCAAAAATTCACTTCACCTGTCAAATACTGCCACACTAATTATGGGAACACTTTTCCTTTTTTTTAATAAATGATAGGGTTCATTACACTGAAGAGTTCAGATCACTTTTTAAATGAATGACAGTGTGAGTCATCCGAAATGTTAAGATCAC